ACAACAAGATAATGTATTCAAAAGAGATAATAGTTTTGGGACGGCCCCCGGTGGGGGGCACTTCCTTATAAAGAGGCTAATAGGGATGTGCCGCTGGATGGGGTCGCATTTTCACGACTACATTGAACATTATCAAGAGTTACTAGAATGGGGTCGCACATTTTCGGATTTTTGGGGTAAGAGAGCTGTTCATATTTACGGTTAGCAAACCTATCAGGATATTTGTACTGTAGGTGAAAAGTAAAGTGTTCTTCATTCAATTTATTAAAAAAATAGGTCAATTCATTTCTTGATGACCTATTTAAAGGATTGATAAGGTAGATACATAAATAGAAAGTGACTAACTTGGGATCGCAAAAATTACATATTTCCCCAAGAGTGACTAATACGGGGTCTACAATATTGGCCACAGAAAAGACTATAATGGGGTAGGGGTTCTGAGAGGCCAGCGGCACATACCCAGCAAAAATTAACGCAAGTAACCCCCCGGGGGGCGCCGCGGTTTCGTTGAAATCATAACAGTTTTCCTGGAAAGCTCCACGGGATCTCAGTCAATCTTAACAAGCGAATTTTCTTTTCAACCTAAACAGGAGCTCCTGACCTAAATCAAAATGATTAGTAAAAAGAATAGTGCCCTTATTTTTGACCCCAAATTTATTTTTCTATTTAAAAAACATGAAATGTTCGGCGGCGTTGTCCATGTTTCTCATATGGCGCGAAAACTTACTTTCATATGACAACATGCGGGTTTTTTTTTTTCGCACGCTCAGGAGGTCAAAGGGATGTGATTTTTCATGAAAAAAATATGCACAAAATTCTGCTTGACTTGTTAAGAAAATAATTTGTTTAATGTTTAATAATTAACTAACAGCTCATTGATTTATTAATTTGGGCGACCAACTTAGAGGCCCGGGTACCCCAGCTAAAAATGCTTGGGGAGCCCAAAATGAAATTTTCTGAAATTTTCCCTGGAGAACTTCCTTAACAGAACATCTCCGTCTCTCCTGCACACATTTGTTGCATACACTACTCAACTTCCATTTCCATCCAACATACCCGTCCGTAATTCTTTCTTAAACCCACACATCCCGCGTAAGCGCCTTCGGGCGTCTTCTTGTTATTTCTAGTTTATTTATTTATTTTTCGTGGCATGTTTGTAAAGTAGCTAATTAGCTGTAAGAACATTGACCACGTTAAATAAAGGGTAATGTATTGTACTGTATTTGTAAAAACTATCAATTTTACTATAGTTATACGCTGATTTTGTTATAGAGTAGGTTAGTTTCATTGTTAGGCAAAGTAACTAATCATCTTATGATAAGTATGTTTATTTACCAGTTAAGTCTTCACTTTTAACATAGTATTGTTACATGCATTTTAATAATTACTTTGTAGAGCATATAAGAGGAGATATGAGGTGGGTGGGGGGGAATCATCACGTAAATCTTGAATAAAGAAGGGGGGTCAGTTGCTATTCACATGGTTTGCAAGGGGGGCCCTTACAGCATGTTACAGACATTTCGATCTTTCCAACATATTTTTCCCTCCCCGCCTCTACATAAATAATGACCGGTCCCTTATCTAAACATTACATGCTCATTAAACCCACCTTTTCCACGAATTAGCCCTAAACTAAAGTTAAGCATAACTTCAACAGGGTGCAAAGAAAATCATTTTTACAGCTTGCCCTTCGGGCAAGCTGAAGCTAGCATTTACTATCCCAGATGTCATTTCAACTAGCCCCAAAAACGTTTTGTTCTTCTGTTATTCGAATTCCTCATAAAACATCACTTGCCCGTCGGGCAAGTTGAAAACAGAATTCACTAGCCCGATAGCAAAATCCACTAGCCCCGGGCTATCGGACAGTACTTTCTTTGCACGCTGCTTCAAGCATACCTGACAAGTAAGCTTACCTGTTTCACGACTTCTGTCATGCCATGTCTCTATCCAACTGTTGACAAGAACCGTTGGAGGTCAAATCCGAGTTCCTGAAGTGAAGTAATATTACTTTGGGTCAAATTTACATGAATTTAACTGCAGACGTGTTCAAGCAATTTTCACTCAGTCGCCATATTGGTTTCTTGTAGGACCCAGTCTCAACTGAGTCTCTCGCGCGAGCTTTCGCAGTACTCGTTTCGCGCTCCTCGAGTACTCGTGAACGTGCAGCAGCTTCTTTTCTGCAGAAAAGAGATACGTTTATGCTTGTAGCGACTTGTTCATAAAATTTAACGACTATGAACGAGATAATCAATAAATCTCACCTGTAATAGTGACAACCATTTCAACTGAGATTGGAATAATGATACCAACACAAAGTGAACCTATGCGAGCACAGGCAGCCCAAGCTCAGCATGAGAGTCAGCCTCATCATCAATTCGTGTGGTCTCGTAAAATAGCCCTCAACACATAAACGATTTGTTTGGGAATTCAGGTGAAAGATTCAAAAAGATAAATCTCACTGGGATTTTCAATAAAATACACGTTATTCACTTGGTTTTTCTTAATTGTTTCCTGTGTGGTTATTTTCCCGATCCTCTTCGACTCAAGCGATTTCATAAATCCTTGCTTATTTTAAACTATTCATACAGTAGGAGAAATTATTCCGGAGAGAATTTTGTCTCTCAGTTCAAAGCTTGAGGTGAAACTGTTACAAGAACTCTAAAGCCTAAGTCACTTTCCGCCGCCGAAATATTTTTCTCAAATTTGTACAAGTGATGTTGCCCGCGGGCTACAATAGTCTCCTTTCGATTTAAACTTGTAACTTCACAGGCTTCGGTCAAAATATAACCGGCAGTCTTTAAATTTCTGTTCCTTTTTTTCTGTCTTTCTCTGTAAATGCTCTAATCAGCGCCTTTCTTCAAATAAGCTCTCCCCCTCGAATTAGCACCCCCCATTAAAGCTAGAAATATAGTTAGCGCCCTCCAAACCTCCCCTAGAGAAAAAAACAGTGAATATGAGGCAAAGAGAGCTAAGACGACTTTACAGGGAAAAGGAATTTGAGAGCGATCGCACACAGACACGATACTTTTGTGTTTACTTAAAATAAAGACAAATGTTATTCTGAGACCGCCTTCAAATAAGCGCCTCCTTCGGCCTTCTTCTCAATTAATAAAGTAAAGAAAGCGTCCCCCCACTGAACGTTATATTCAGGCATTCACGGTAATTGCTCTAGACGTCCGCACAATCATAAACGTGAGACATTAACGCATCTTTTTTTGAATATGAAACCATTTAACCCTTACTACGTCAATCTTAGCCTACGTGTGGCCGCACCCTCCCGCCAACAAAGGAAAAACGTTTTTCCTTTGTCGGGGGAGGGTGCGGCTACCGTAGGCTACGTCAATCTGAATCTATCATTTTACGTTTTAAAGGCTCCCTCTTTAATCAGTGAGTAAAAGGGTGTCGGACTGAGGTGGTAGCTGTTGGTTGGGAACCGCAAAACAGTTCTCCCATGGCATGCGTATGGAGATGGATCAGAAAAATTAACCTGTCTACCCAAACATTTTGTTAAAAAAACAATTTCAGCTGCTAAGCACGCGTACCAACTTCGCGGTGTAGCCAGTACCTCCTTACACATGCGCACAACCATATCATCCAGGCAGTGGCAGCCAAAGACAGCTGTTCGTCGAATAAGTACTTATCAGCATGGCATAGCCCCAGGCGAGAGGTCTCACCTGCGACCATCGACCCCGCCGTTTACTGCCGAGGCGAGTGCCTAAAGCACTCCTTTAAGCGGCAGCTCTGATGCCATGCTGATGAGTCCTAATAAGGACGAAACATCTGTCCACGGCTGCCATTACCAGGGTGATATGCTTGTGCGCATGTGTAAGGTACTGGCTATTAAAAAAATAAAAATCATAGACATAAGTAAGATCCGCCATGAATTAAAATTCGCATAACTAATCGCAAATCAATCGGCCAAGCCGCCTTCTACAACTGATGTCTGTTCCCCTTTAGCAGCACACGATGGAAGAAGTAACCACCTTCGAAGTGCAGATACCGTAAATCCCCTACTAAGACCCCCCCCCCCCCCTCAAATAAGCCCCCTCACTCTAACATAATAAGCCACCCTTGATCCTTCCCTTTCAGGAGAAGAAAGTTAATAAGCTCCCTCCTCCCCTCCCCTAATTATTTTTCACTTATAAATGAGAGACTGTATTAGTCAATCATGACTGTTAACCTTCGTGTGGACTGATCCGGGATGGTTTAATTACCAACTGGAAGGTCGGATTTGATTCTGATCCTCGGCTGCATGACCTCTAACCTTCTTGTACTTGAGCTTTTCCACTTTGCATTCTAGTTCTTTATGGAGAACTGATACCATCATCTTTTCTAAGTTAAATAAGCCCCCCTCTCAAATAAGCACCCCTTCAGATGGGCTTGAAATTAACTTGCGGTAAGTAAACCGACCCAATTTTTGCATAGACTTCCTCCAACCCCTCCCCCACCTCAAAGATATCAAGACAGGGCAGTGAAAGCCTGAGAGCGCCCACAAATTATGCGACTTTAAATTTCAGAAAGGTGACTTAAATAGGAGAAAAGCTTTAAACGGAAACCGCGGAGAGTCTGTTGCTGCGCTACATTATATTATATTATATCATGTGTTATAGAAGGGGAAATTGTAAAACCAAGACTTCACCATGCGACACACTTCTTTTGATGACCCAAAAAACACCTGTAGCCTGCGAGCAATCTCTTCCTTTCTTTCCCCGCCCCTAACACTCGCGTCTCCTTACGCGTGGCTTTTCGTGACTCCTCCAAACGGAGAGCTTGACACCTGTACTCTTGTCACTGGTGGTGGTGCACTGCATCGTCATGTTTGATATTCGATATGCCATTACATTACAGTGCAGTGCAACATAAACCTCGATCACGGGATAATACTCAGTGCCACTGGCTGTCCTCATTGTGATCATTACGCAGCAGTTTTGCACACCCAGTAGATACTCAGTCTCGGTTTCGAAGCCGTTCCAAGGCAGACGCGGTATCCGTTCTAACTGTGTGTTAACATCCGGAAAGAAAGCGCATTATCATGCTCTTCCTGCTGATTGCTGCTGCCCTCATCTGCAGTACAGCTGCAGCGAATTCGCCATGCGGTAGCCTCTACGTCTCGTATGATTTGTCACCAAATTTTAACGAAACGATCGCCCACAGCATTCACTCCATGACTGTACAGGGACTTCGTTTGTTTAACCCACGAGCGACCGAAGACAATCGCGTACCGACCGTAAACCATGATATCCATGACGAGGTAACTTCTTGTAGTTATGCTCTTTTATTATCATTTTCGTAAATTCTCTTGCAATAAAGTTACACAGACACAACATCCCCTGGGTGGGGGGGCCGGGGGGGGAGGGGCATTTACTTATTTGGCCTAAACGGTTATGTGCTGCTGAATAGGATATGTTTTTCACGACCTTGACGCAAAACAAAACGAACCAGGGTCATAAAATGAGATCTCTTGTCTTAAACAAAGCAGCGAAATAAGCAGTTTTTGCCTTCAACAGGCGCAGGGTTTGAAGGCCTCCGTAGCACACCTCTACCCAAACTTCCCTTGAGTGCCCCCCCCCCCCCACCGATTAAATCCGCAACAGAAATGCTAGACGGGGGAGGAAGGCTAGAAAATCGAGTTCAAACCTTAGACTGTTATCGATGTTCATTTTATTGCACTGAACATCGCTCAACTCCTCTTCTTGCCTCAGCAGCCATAAGGATCTCGAGGATCGAAACTGCCATCGAAACAAATTTCCAACTTAAATTTCTCACCCCTACATCGCAATCCCTTTGAAGAAGACATGTTTTGATACTTTCTCTTGAGAATATTCCTTCTTCGTTCTGTTCAAAGGTGAAAGGTCAGAAATGGTTGGGCAATAAGTACGTGGTGATAAAACCTGTCTCTAGTAATACAAACAGAATTTCTACTCTGAAAACCGAAAGAAAAAGATCATTTTATGTCTGAAGAACGTAAGTGTTTTCGATTTTTGGAGACGAGTAAAAGTAAATTTTGGCGGATTCAACTAAAACCTTTAAAACACGTTTGCGAAAACCGTGAAAACAGTTAAGTTTTCCACCTTTGTTCTATCTAGCTTTTAAATTCTGGTCTTATCTGTTTCCTAGCTAATTGTCAGATATTCAGAAATTGATAGTAGCCGCGTGTAGCCCGGGGGTGACGGCAATATTGTGTGGATTTTACCAACTGAAGTACTGAATTGTTCCGCTCTTGGTACGAGTTGGAACAAGAGTATCTTATTACTAGACTCCAAAAGGTCATTGTTCAGTGTAACAAAAACACAACCTCGAGAGGTTGACAAAAATCATCTCTTAGCTATGCAGCAACAAAAGATAAGAGAAGGTTTTAAATTTGTTTTCAGTTCCTCAGGCTTTTTTGCTGACTGATGTGACCGATGTCTGAACTTAAACTTCATCACTGAAAGCTTTTAACGCCGTGGATTTCGTTCTTCGGATTCTAGGTACTGGATTTTCCGGAATCTTTGTCAGTGGAACTTTGATTCCGGATTCCGATCGTAAGAGGGATTCCGGATTCCTTGAGCTGTATTCCGAACTCCAGTACTCAGGATTCCAGATTTCACCAGCAAAAATTTCTCGGATTCCAGAATCCAGTTTCACTTACATGGGGCGACCTTTTCTAGTCTCTTGGAGTAGTTCCCTTTCTCCTCACTCCCATTAAATCAACGTCTTTGGAGTTTACTATATATTCTTATCTTTTCACGTTTTCCTTTTTCTAGAAACACCTTGTGCTACCCTATGCCCCAGAGGACCCCTACGGAGAAGATTTCAGCACGGAGACAATGAACATTATGGACGCCATTTTAAGCCGCATCGGTTTGGATGATGATGGTCTGGGTCCGAACTGGTCTTCCACTGAGCGAATCGTTCACAAGTTTCACATGATTGACGTCTGGCATAGGGTCAGAGAAGTTTACCAGGAAGTTGAACAAAACCCGCCTCAGGTAACAACTTATAGTCTGAAAAAAGTGTGTTGACAATACACTCGTCCTCAAACGGAGAGAAGTAAAAGCCCATGTTCGATATATTAAAATCGGAATTCTGTCGCGCCATGAAACTGCACCAAGAACTTCAAACTGATTTCGCGCGCTTAAGGCACTGATTATGCGCGTGCGCTCAGCTAACTTATGGGTGCCCTCTGCATTGACGTAATATATAATAGATTTAGCCAGGGCTAAAAGCGAAGCTCTGGTTAATAATACGTGTAAACAAAAAAAAATCGTGTAATGCTAAACGGGGACGACAATGAAAATGGCTTCAAGACTAATAGATCTAATTAGCAAAAAAACAAATCGCACGTGCAGCACACTTTTTCTTCTAATTAGCAAAAAACAAATTTGCACGTGCAGCACGCTTCCCTTGCCGTTGTTTTGCACGACTACAACGCTATTTTGTACGTCAAACTTCCTAGTTACACATTATTTTTATGGAGGAATTGTCGTATGTGCTTACCCAATATTTTGTTTCCTGTGTTCATGTTCGCTTTTATTTTTCACTGCCGCTCATTTTCACCTTGCCGGGCCGCTAGCATTTCCCATTTTCTCACCGCCGCTTTGAATTTCCATGTTTTTCTTCCTACGAAATTCGTCTCCTTTGTTTTCAATTACTCGCTCTAGCTCTTTCTCTGTTATCCACGTTAGTGTAAACATAAAAAATACGTAGAAAGGGATTTGCACACAGTAATGTCAATTTAGTATGACATCATCCATGAAAGCTGTGTTTTCATTCGCAGGATGATCTATGTGAATGTTTATTGGACACCACTTCTAATGGTATCTACCAGGCGGTACACTGGGTAGCTGAACACTATAAATCAGGAACTCCTATTACACTTCTCAACCGAAACATTCCCAAGCTAAAGAACGCAAAATCCTGGAAAGTCTGGAAGAAACGTTTGCTGTACTACTACAGGCGTCCATCGCTTTACGATAGCAGCCTGTTCTTGTACTGTGCTACCAAAGACTTCTGAGACGGTGGCCGGTTCTGATAAACCCTGGAAGATTTTCATACACAGATTCTTAACAGGCAACAGTGTACTGTTAGTAGCCGGAAAACCCACTCAAATGCATCAAGTGAAATAGCACAAATAAATACAAAATTAATTCGAGACCAACCCGTTCTTCTTCAGTTTGAAGAAACCGGATTATTCATGATCACTTACCACAATATGATTTCCCAAGAACGTAGTTTTAGGTCACTCACAGCACTGTCCTTTGTTTTGTTTTTTTCGCTAAGCGGTTTAGCAATTAAGAATAAAGATTGTATTACGGTTTGAATTTTGAACTCTCTTGAGTTTTTCCCTACCTACTGAATTCCACACCAATCAACACTCCAGTGAAAGATGATTTTCAGACTTGTTCTCGCCCAAGTTCCGTAAGCGCCGGCGGGGAGACGCGAGCTCGGGCCGCGAATGTGAGACGAACGGCCGAAAACTCGCTCGGACCACGTGAACCGAGACGCATTGGCCGCGCGAAATAATGAGACCTAGGGACTGTGTGAGAGAGGGTTTTGAATCCAAATGTATGCTAGGTCAGCTTCAACCTCCATCAGAAAAAAGCCCATCTAACTTGAGAATGAAGTCTGCTTCATTAAGCGCAATTTGTTTTACGATTATCATGGTGCATCACAATGATTTATAAATCACGACGACTCTCAGTTATGAGTCTCCATGTGATGTAGTTTTCAATTGTCTTATGGTTTACTGACATAAAACTGGAAAAAAATTCAACATAATACCGTGTTCTTTATTAACAAATCGATCAAAGAAAATCAATTTTGAATATATCTGATAAAAAATCACAATAATATACCCAACGCTGCCCCTTTTTAACAAGCTAAAATGATGTTTTTGTACTCGCGTTGTTCTAGTATTCCTTTATTTCACAAAATTACCTTCCGCGTTACAGCGAAAAAAGTACAAAATATGTGCTTCTACAACAAGAAAATAAATTGTTTACAATAAGGACTAACCCAAGCGGCAAATCCAGTTTGACTGGACAAACTGATAAATTTATAATTCCACACCGTTATCTATCTAATCATTCTAGTAGCCTGTTCTAGGCTCCCGAAAAGTGTAGCGATCGTGAAATCGCCCCACGCCGTAAGGGAGTCCAGTAGTCTGAATTCCACGCCATGGATTCCGGATTTCACGTACTGGATTCCGGATCCCTTGTCACTGGAACTTGGATTCTGGATTCTAATCGCTGGTGAGATTACGGATTCTTTGAGCAGTATTCCGGATTCCAAAGCTCAGGATTCCGGATTCCACTAGACAGGCAAAAATTTTCCGGATTCCGAAATCCGGATTCCTTTACATGGGGTGAACGAAAACTTGAGCGTCTGTTGACCTTGTTTTCGTAGACTGCCAGCAGTCTCTCTTTTTGTCAGATTTAGTGAGGGAAGTGCAAGTGCGCGCGAGCGGCGACAGACGCGAGAAACGAGGGCGGCAGCCCGAAAAGAAAAATGAACATCTTTCTTCTCGCGCCTTCAGTCACGGGTGTGGTCATTTGCGTGTCTCGCGCGTTTTGATCGATGGAACAAGAAAAAAGGGAGACTGCTCGTAGTCTATTGTTTTTGCGATGCCGGTATTATCTGAGAACCTAGCAAACGCTATCCTACTGGCGGCAAAAAAGAATTTTAAGTTTCTTTTTACATTTTAACTATCTCCTTGTATGAAAATATCGTCTGCTAGTAGGCTTGCAGCCTTACTAACGATTTGGATAATAAACAACATCCCTACAATATTCAACGGTTTATTGTCAGCTCGCCTGACATGATTCATCCAATATAAGTCGATCTCAGCAATATGCGAATATCTGCACATTTTTCAGTAAAAGTTAAGAAAATCTCCGAAGCTGTTCTTTTCGTTCGTTTTTTGTGCGCATCTAACGAATTTCTTCTAAAATGACTCAGATAAAATAAGTTCCTTCGTGAACGGGAGCAGTAAACACAGCATGCTCACTTGCTCTTTACACTAACCCTAAGAAATATAAGCTCAAAAGCCCGCGGAAGCCATTCTAGAATTTAATTCCTCATATCGAATACTGAAATATGTTTGAATTCATAAGAAGGTTGGTACAAAATTCGGGTCGATCGTTATTATCTATAACGAATCAATTGATTCTATTTTCTACGCCGATATTGCTCTCAACCCCCAACTACTCTCCGTACCATTCTTTCTGAAACTTCCCTGGTTACATTCTGTTTTTCCAGCAGTTGAACTTGTGGACCAGCTGCTTCCTCCATGTTGACGTCACCTCGACTTCCTGATGCAATGGCCAAATCCGCTTGCCGCATTTTTTTCACTTCTCTTTGCCATGTTTTGCAGGCACCATCAATGCTGTTGTCCAATGAAAACTTACTTGCTAACTTGGAGCTTGGACCAATGGTTGATCCATTGATTGCTATGAGGTTAACATGCAAAGATCGTTTAGTGAGCTCTTCTTGAACTTTGGTAAGCAGCTCTTCCAAGACCACGTCTCCGTCGTTCATCTCGATTTCGTCAAGAATAATATCATGAGCTGTACCAAAGAGGCGCTCCATAGATTTATCCACCTCAACGATATAGGAAATTATCTATAGGCAAAACACCAAAAACGTTTTTAACGTAAGTTATATTTATTCCTCAATTTCATCTTGCGGTAAAAGGCGTGATAGCACCACCACCCTCAAAACTCAGTTCTAAAGATCAACCCAGGTGACGTAACGTCCAATAAAATCCACTGAAATGCTTTCCTCTATTTCAGATCCTTCAGAACAAGAAGCGATAGTCTATACTTCGAATCAAAGCTGTAGCAAAATGACTGGTTTGTCCAGCCAGTTCTGACAGACTCTTGGTTAAACCTCTTTGAGTTAGGATAAAACATGCCAGTGACAGTTGAGCTTACCAGTCGTTTCGTTCGATTCGCAGCAAAGTCGTTTCGCTGTATCACGTTCAGATTTTTGACCTTTCGTATAAAACCGAATAAAATTAACTACAAACGAATAATACTAACGACTTAATTACCATTTCACTGAGTTAATCATCGAACAAACACCAGCAAACTTTGGAGCAGTTTTCAACTTTGTGATGCCGGCAGCGAAACGACTTTAAAACTTCGCCGCGAATCGTCTTGTAGCGAAACGAGCGGACACCGGGATTGCGTAAGGGTCATTCAGATATCTAGCAACATCCACATATAACCGTTTTTCAGTCATCTCGCTTACCAGTATGGTTAACTCGCCTTCAGTTTATAATCTAGTATTAAAATATATCGAACGAAACGAACCCCAGGAAACAAACAGTTGTTAATTCCTTTTTGTTAAACGTTCCAGGCAAGAAGAGTCACCAAGGCGAACAGTATTTTCTTTTTCGAACGCAAGGAGTAAACAAAACCGCGGTCTACCATACCAAAGTGCGTGTGTTCGATCACACTGTACGGTATGAAAGCAAAGAAAGAGAGATGTAAAATACTCAAGCCTCATTAGGTCGATGGAAAAAGATTTCTTCACCGAAAACTAACTTTGAAAAAAACTTTCTGTCCAGCAGAAATCAAAACGCCGCACATGCGCAGACGTGTGTCACAGGCTCTTTAAAAGTTAACGCAATAGTACAATTGCACGATGACGTCATGTTACTACAACTACCAGAATCCTTGAGTTTGTTGTTTTCTTATGCAAATTAAGGCTATTGTTCTTTAATCCTCAGCGGGATTGACAAATTTAAATAACAAAGCAAAACCGAAATGAATTCTGGTAGTTGTAGTCAAATGTCGTCATCGTGCAATTGTCCTATTGCATTCTTAGGCATGAGAACTACCTCAGAAACAACCTTGACACTTTCGCTGTAGATAAACAGCCCGCCAGTCATCAGGGAAATTCCTGTAAAAAACTCTGCCATGAGATCAATACGTCGTCCAGAATTTGGAAGATAGGGAGGTATTCCTGGCTTTGAACTCCTGCACAACACCACGTAAAGTGTAACGGCATTCGCAGCAAGTTGTCTACAAAGGCTTAAGACATCATGGCCATGGGTACATTTGAAGATATCAAGGTTACCAAATTGAACGTCTAAAGCTGTAATTGCAAATAACAATGATCATTATCACTGCCTCTTCCATGGTTTTTTCAATTTTCGACTGGGACCATTCGTCATCACGACTGGAACAAACCCCTTACAATCAGTAATGTTGCCAACGTTTAAAGTTGTTTAAAACTCACGAAGACATAGGTCCAAAAGGCCGCGAAATTTTACAGCCGTTTCTATGGTGGGGGGCGGGGGCAAGTTCGTGCCCCCCACCATACAAACGTCTGTAAAATTCTGCGACTTTGTGGAGAAATATCTTCGCTCGCTTTGGACGTATAACATTTAAACTTGGTAAGTTTCCTAACTTTAAGGCTTTCTTTCCAGCAGCGTTGATAGATATTCGTTTACAGGTCTTTATCAAAACTTGGAAAAAGGATTCATTGACAACTGAAGGGGTCACGTTCTGGAATAGAGCTCCCAAGTGACTTTTGATAAACCACTAGTAGATTTTCCTTGTCTTGTAACTCGAAAGGAGCAGATATTAGATCAGGAGTAAAGGGCGTCATTTCATATTATCAAACTCCATGAATAGCAATACATGTCAAAAGTAGATTGAGTTTGATCGTCCTGGTGAACGTAGTCCTGAATAGGACTGTTGTTGTTACCCTGGGTGCCAGAGACTTTTCTAGCGCAGTTTCCGGTTTCTGTCAAGTCTTTATAGTGACCCGCCCGATAAGTTTTTTCTCGCGGCTTCGCCGCTCGTGGCGAAGATGTGTCGGCCTTCGGCCAACACCGAAAATTCCCGCAGTACACGAGAAACACCTCTGGTACCCAGGGTATGTTGTTGTTGACAGTGACTGACGTTTCGACAACCCGTGCGGTAGTCATCTTCAGAGTCAAATGTACTGTATCTTCTTCAGGGTTTTTGTCAAAATCCCCTGCCTACATCCCACCTTTTCAGTATATTAACTCTCTGTAAAGCAGGCATTGTCCTCACCAGAAGTAGAAGATATTACATGGCCGCGTAGAGATACGAAATTTCTGTTCGAGAGTTGGAAAACAACCTAAACATAAACATACACTCGAAGAGAAATTTTTTGCATGTACCTCCAAGCAAACATGTAATATGTTCTGATTACACTGTATTATATAAACACCAATAATGAATTTAAAAGAAGAACATTTCTCTTAAATACTTTTTTGCTGCAGAAGGCATGATTTAGTGTAACTGTAGTAACAGTAATCATTTCATTTGTGAATGTAACATGGTATTTTCACATGAAGTGTTGAAAGTCTTAGTAATTTTTTTGCATTGCAAACATGCATACTCACGCAGCAATACACAGACTGTGAGGGCTTCTTGGCGGCATTTATAATCATTGTTACAATCATCATCATCATTGTTATTGCTTAGGTGAACAGCTAAAGCCAGTGCGTCAGCCAGGCCTCTCCTAGAGCCACTGTTACCAAAACACCTCAAGCCGTTGATGTTGTCTTTCATTTTTGATTTGTCATCCGTGAAGTTAACAACAGAAGCTATGTTGGAAACAGATGCAGTTGGAACTCTTCGTCCAGTATTGGGATGATTTTGGTAACTGATTATTGCCAGACGGAAATGGGCACTTTTTTGGGATATGGCATCCACCATATGCCTTAGCTGTGCCTTGAGCTGCCCAAGAATGGCAGCATTTGTGGTAGCACAGTCCACAACAACTATCAAATCTAACTTTCGATCATCATGCAAGCAAGGTGCATGATGTGACACAACTATAAATAGAAAGATTACAATCGGTTAGTCTTATTTTCAAAAAGTGGGAAGGCTGATTTACTAATCCATGGAGGTAGTATATAAATTTTGCCTTCTACAGTTTGGTGAACTTTAGAAGCTACAATTTACCATCAGGAACAAAAGACAGCATAGTGCTTGTCTTACAAATGATGCTTTGGACAGTTTTGACTTTTTTTTTGCAAGTAGGGTTGACCAGAAAACAGCTCAAGAAGCTTTCAGTGGCACTTTATGAAATGATTTCCATGGATGAATGAGTTATGCACAGTACATGTACCTAGCTTGATAGAGATATCTACTTTTGAGCTACATGTAACCTTACTGTGAAACCACTGGGGCCTCGTTTTTCGAAAGATGGATAATGCTATCCACTGAATAAATCACTATCCAGTGGATAATGCAATAATTTATTACCGGTAGTTTCTCTAATACTTCTCTCCTGGATGGTGATTTATCCAGTGTATAACACTATCCCACGTTTGAACAACTGGAGCCAGAAATATTTCTGAAATGCTATTGTGCTTCAAGGAAAAAGCCAATCAGGCATTTTAAAAAAACCTTGAGTCTGCAAACAAGATTATAATCATTGGTTTGTGGCTTTGTGGCTTAAGCTCACGTGTCATGATCTTTGCTGTGATTTTCAGAACACAATAAAGGTTCCAGAAATATTTTTTAGGTGTTTAAAACAAACAAAGCTGCGCATAAGTTTTAAGAAAGACAGCAAAAGATGAATTTTAGTTTTTTTGATTAACTAAAACAAACAAAAGCTGCTCCTAAAATAAGATAAGATAAGATAAGACAAGATAATTTATTTAATGTCAGATGCACAGGGGGTGGTCTCCCAATCCCCCGAGCCACTGGCTCATGATAAAAGTGTTTGACAATATAAAAGAAAAATTAAATAATTGATATGTCAATAGCGACTAATTAAATTTAAAAAAAAACATCTATCTAGAAAAATAAATCGGGTCAAAGGCAATTGCTGCATTGACTACCTCTTCTAGTTCTAAAGGTCATAGATAACTTTATAACTTTGAGTATGTACAAACAACTACAAAGTGGTAGAGTTACCAGAGGCTACATTCTGACAAAAAAGGTAAAAGGTTATTTTCTCTATCAGAAAAAAATGATTATTGTATCATGAGGGTATGACAACATCCTTTTATTCCAACCAAATACCAATGTTTAAATAATACTGTAAATCTCCAAAGATAAGAATTTTGCAGTGTCTTAGTTCATGTATGTCATAAGATTTCTACTAGATCACTATTGCTCCCACCCTTAAATTTCACTTTGCCTTGCAGGCTTATTATAATTTCCAAATGCTGACCACATGATACAAAAAGCTTCTTGCTCAAAGTTGAATACATTAAACTGGTGGCAACACTGATTAACATTTTAGTTGCTGCTGGTTCTACTTTCCCCAAACAAGAATTTTTGTATCAACTGATCAGTTATAAAACTGTAGGATAAAATTAATGGGCCACTAGACAAGGAGAAATTTCAGCCATTTAAGAACATCTGGGATCAATAGTGCATGATCAGCTGTGATTTGGGATCAAGACATCCATTGGCAAAACCAACATGAGGGAGGAACCTTTCCCTCCCCACCCTCTGTACCAAGGTGACAATAGCTTAATGACTGTACGGCTGTTAGAAGGAAGGAAGGAAGCATCCTACCTTGTGAGCATGGAAGATTAGCTTCTGCAATGGATGTCGGAACATTAGCTTCTGCAATGGATGTCGGAACAGAACGTGTAATAGGTGTCTGCATATGGATCTCAGACTTGTCACCAATTTTTACGGCTCTGACACCACATTGGGCAAGCCAGGGTTCCTTTTCTAAGGCATTTAGACAAAGTTTATCCACCACTTCTCTTCTATTAGGCAGTTCAAACATTAGGTTAAACCAATTTGAAGCAACTTCTTCACACTTTATGAAGTGGCATTCACTAGGGTCAATGCGGAGGACAAGGTTCATGCTGTTTGTCAGTGCACCCACAGTGTCTGGCACAATGAAGTGTTGTCTTTGAGATGCAAACGAGAAACAAACCTTTTCCATAGCTGCAAATAAAATATATCATCAAATGCCATGTCTGTATGGTCTTTAAACAATTGTAAAGGCTGGGGTAATATCTCGAAGAAAAATGTTATCATTTGTAAACAAATAAATAAATAATAATAAAAGTAGGTTTTTATGGTGCATTTAAAGAATTCTCAATGTGCTTACAATAGATTATAGTAAATAAAGTCTACATGAAACTCTATACAGTAATTATTCCTAAAAAGAAAAGTTTTCAAACTTTGCTTAAAAGTAGAAACAGATTCAGAGTTTTTGATATGATCAGGAAGACTGTTCCAGATTATCGGTGCGTAATATGAAAATGACAGGTGTCCTTAAGCCACGGTATTAACAGAAGGAACTTGTAAAAGCAGTCTATTAGATGAGCAGAGTAAACGGGACAGCTGGTATTTGAGAAGGAGTGAAGGCAAATAGTAAGGAGCGATATTTCGCGTGGTCGAGGAGCTGCAAAATTCAGGTAAATCCATGAAATCCCGCAAAATTCACAAAAACACGCAAAATACCGTGAAATTTAGTAGAAATCTTATCAAATACATGTCTGTACAGCAATTTTGAAACTTGTCTCAGCTACTGGGGGTATTTACTTGCCGTAAACTCGCAAATTTATGTCAAAACTTCGTCACTAAAATGTGTAAACAACGTTCCAAAACTACCAAACGTAGATTATGTTGCGAAAAAATGGGCACTAGCCATGATGTTAAAGGCTTTGCCATTGGTTCACTTCTGGAGTGTATTGTTGTTGAAAGAGCAAATGATGACCTCTGTTAGAAAAACATTAAAAACGCTGGTCTGATCAGCGCAAAACCGATCGATTTCTAGTGAAATTTGCCCTGAAAATAACCACAAAATCCTCCGTTTTTTTACCGATTGCTTTCCGGCCAAGTTTGCCCCGAAAATTCCCCCTAAATTCCCACCAAATCGGCCCATTTTTCCACGATTTTGTCCCTCACAATCCCATGAAATTTGACTTTTTTCCCGTGACCTATGAGAAGCCCTGTAAATCCTTTAAAATTTTAAATCTTAAAATCAATTCATACGCCAATAGGAAGCCAGGGCAAGTCTTTCACGACAGGAGTTATATGGTCAGATCTTCTTATTCCTAAAACCAAGCATGCGGCACAGTTCTGAACACGTTGTAGCTTGTCTATATCTCGCTTGGGTAAGCCACAGTATAAACTGTTACAATAATCCAAGCATGACATAACAAAAGCATAGACCATCATCTTAAGGTGATCCTTGCTCACATACTTCCTCAATCTGCCAATGAATCGAATCGCTAGCATAGCCTTTCTGCATATTTCATTAATATGATGACTAAGATTGAGCTCTCTATCTAGGTTTACACCAAGATTACAAACTTGGTCTGATGGTTGTACTCTAGCATTGCCAATCAAAAAAATCACTGAGAATTGGGTTCTTGATGAAACGAGGACTAAATAATTGAATGACCTCTGTTTTACTAGGATTGCACACTAACTTATTGATGGTGTTCCATTCTATGATTTCACTGATACACTTCTGAAGGGTGTTGAGAGCAGAACGTTGATCATGAGGGTCAATAGTTATGTAGAGTTGAGAGTCATCTGTGCAGAACATACAATCGAGGTTATGAGCAGAGATTATGTCTTGAATAGGTGCTGTATAAAGAAAAAACAAGAGATGACCGCGTATCGAACCTTGCGGAACTCCACATTCTAATCTCCGACTGCTAGATATTGTTTTACCAATACTAACATATTGTATCTGACCAGTAAGATATGACGAAAACCATCTTAGCACTGTGTGGGAAAAACCGAAGTATCTACTCAGCCCTGTCCAACAGTATAGTATGGTCTAGGGTGTTAAATGCAGCTGACAAATCAAGCACGACTAAAACAACGTCTTGCCGACAATTAACAGTCCTAAGAATTTCATTCATTAGTGGCAGAAGGGCAGTCTCGGTCAAGTGATGTTTACGATAAACGGATTGCATAGAAGGCATTAATAGATTATCCTCCAAGTATGAATGTGTCTGAACCGTGACAACCTTCTCAATGACTTTTACTAGGAAAGTTATATTGGCTACAGGTTGGTAATTTTTTAAAACATCCTTGTTAACACCTGGCTTCTTCAGGACTGGCCGAATCAAAAATCGTTTAAGCGCAGAAGGGAATTCACCAGAGGTTAAAGATTCATTAACAACAGCTGTTATAAAAAAGCATTTTGATCAGTCTACAAATAACCTGAATCACATTCTGAAATGCCAATAGTGAATACCATAGCCTGCATAGCTGCCAGTTTTTTGGCATTTTTCTTTGTGTGGTTTGGAAAGTAAAAGATACAGCCACATGAGTGCTGAACAGAGGTTGAACCAGGAAACAATGGGGGAGGGGGCAAGAAGGCAATGAGAGAAACAGCAAACAATTTAGCCCTTGAGACTTTTAAAATGCCCCTTCAAGACTTGTGAAAGGGGACATGTTTTGAAGTCTGATGTGAGCCGATAAACTGTCACACCAAAGATTGTTGTTATGACTGTTAATGAATGTTATGTTGATAAGTTATTGATTGCATAATTTAAATTCTCTATGAACAATCGGTGTATCTGTTGTGGTTAAATTTTATCCTTCGTTTAAATTTTATTTCCCTTTGGCATGAATCACTATCATTTGTTACCAACCAGTACCATACCCATACTCGAAAACAAAGGGAAATAAAATCTAACCCAAGGATAAAATTGAACAGAACTACAACATATCAGAGGTTTCAATAGAAGATGGCTACCGGCGATGGACCGACAGCTACTTTGCTTTATTCCACTGCCTACTTCGGACAATCAGTTGAATGTTTTGGACTGATTGCGTGTCATCAACCACTTTCTTTCTTGAAAGTAAAATAGCTTTTCTGGCTTTACTAGCCACGAATTTTAATTCCTAAATCTCCGAATTATAGCAATTTTGTTTGAAAAAATTACTGAGTTCGTATACAAATTCGAGCAAATTACAGAGGGTTCCCCTAACAAATCAATGAAAGTCGCATCTACTATCGCATCAAGTTGCAACCAGGAATTCCCCGTCACAGTTGTTATGTAACATCTGCGTGACACTCCACGTGAACTCAAAGCACATGCTTCACCTGTTTTGACTGAAATGGCAGCGAAAAGGCAAGGCGTTCTCGCAAATTTTTTTGCGGTTGTGCCAAAGAAATCAAAAGGTTCACAAGTTATTAGTAATTTTATAATTCGGCTTTTCAACATAATAGATTTGCACAGACTGATGAAAATAACATAGCAATTTGCATTTCAAAACAGTCAGTGACCTTTGAACTTGCAGAATGATGTCCTGAGACCAGCGAAGTTTGTTTTTAAAATTTTCTTTGTCCGAAGAATAGTTTGGTTGTGGAAGCAACTTCATTAATAAACATTTTTATAACAAGGTGGTTAATAAAATGTTAAATGGCGAAAACAACACTAACAGTGACTCATGTTCCTGCTGCCCTTTTTCCTCTCACGGTTCTTAATCATGAAATGTTTTTCTTGCTAGTATTTTATAGTATAAAGTGTTTATGAATTTTGGGTATTTCTGAACTTTCTTAATTAAGTAGTGAACCTTGTCCATTATTTTCTGTTCATTCGCGAAACGTTGGCGGGGCTCATGATCCTTAAGTCTCATTGCTCCACTTCAATAAAAGTGCGTAAAATAAGAAGCATAAAAAATTCAACATGAAAAGAAATCTGAAGGTTGGCAAATTCTCTTGAATGATTTCACTGTTATTATGCCTAAAACTTTTAGTTTTCACCATTACATTTGAGTTCCACTAGAACTGACTTTTCTTTTTTTTTCCAACCTGTACAATGGAAAGTCACAATTGTATCAGTTCCCTTCCATTTTGATAAATTTTCACAGTGCAAAAATCGAGTTCTACGGCCGACCCACCTGCTAATTCGGATGAGATTGAACAGTAGAGCCTTAAACTTCAAACCTGTTGAATTTGTGTGAACCTTGCAAATAATAATCTAAATGGTAACAAGACGCTGTGGGAGCGTATATTTGGGCGTGGTCGTAATATCGGTATGATACTTTGAACATGCCTTATTGCAGCTAAAGAACTGTCATCATACAGGGGCACCCAACGGGAATATAGTTCAAAACCACTTAAACATAGCATTGTTTTAAACGTATTTTAGTATTTAAATGATAGATATAGGCATACTTTGATCCCCTGAAAGTTTTTCATCTGTTCAGATTTCCTAGCTGAAAGTCTACTGATCTGAAAATTATAGGGATCAAAACTTACCTTTCGAAAATTTCAGCCAGAAAAAAGGCTCCCGAAAATTCTAGGTAACCTTTTTAGGGTAAAAATCCATTGAAAATGGGCAATTATACCATTTTAGATGTTCGAAAATTCTAGAAGAGGCAGGCAAGCAAGAAATTTTACAACAAATGTTCTGAAAATTCTAGATCTCAAATCGTCTTCCGAAGAGATATTTTCCAAAAATTGACGTTGGGTTCCCCTGATCATATCTTATCCACAACAAAAATAGTGTCATTTCATGACAATGTTTCAAAATATGCACATCTTCAATGCAGACATGTTTGGAGCCAAATTGCAACATAGGACATCACTGGTTACAGCCTGGAGAATAAGGTTTATCTCAGCTCCACTGATACTGACACTTTGAGGAAGATTGACTGACAGACGTGTTTTCACACCCATCACATTCTACAGTGTATTCCGGTTACTAACAAGGGCAAAAAAAGTTCCTTAAGTCCAGTATCCACAAGGATTAATAAGAGAGTAGCACATCGCATAAACTGCTATAGAGCAGCACTGTTTACAGGAACATTGGTAACTATTAACATTTGATATACTACAATGTTCAACATTGTTTGAGAAAAGATGAGGTTCAAAGGTGGCAATATGTACACCTTTAAGTTCATATATATCCTCATTCCTATGTAGAGTCTAAAAATATTGTACTAATTTATGCATGGATGGTATTCCAACAATACACATGTCCCTTCACTATGACTGTTATGATACATATCTTTAGTATATACACACTCAGTGATCTTGGTGATTTAAGCAATCAGATTGGTTTGCTATCTCGGACTATTCAACCATATTCACCTCCTAGTGAGTGGATAATGTGTCAGCTGGGTGTTTTTTCCATATTTTTTTCGAGATCGATCTTTTAAAAGTCGACAAAATCCAAGGGCTGACTTTTTTTTTGAGGCAAGAAAAGACTTGGAAGAATTCAATACGGCATTTTTCAATTTACTGTAGCTGAGTTTTGTGGTTGATGGATTGTTTACAAATCTCGTGTATTCGTAGAAGAAGCCGTTTTGTGAACTCAGCGTTTTCTAACAAGAAAATTTTGGCTCAAAAATCGAAGTTTATTTATGACAAACAAATTTAAAAGGAAATGTTGGCAGAAATTCTACATTTCAAGTAAACAGGAAAAAGAATGATACAGGAAGATGACGTCTTACCTCGAGCAACCGAGCCGCCATTTTTGTCAGCACTTCATGGGAAGAACGACACAACAAACCCTTTTGGCTATAAACTTGCATTGGCGAGTCAACAGAAAACAACAAAGCTCTACTTTTCTTCTCAGGTAAGGAAACTTTTAGTGGTTCCATTTAAGCCATTACGCTGTTGTTTGCAAAATGATAAACTTGTGAATTACCATGTTTGAAAATTCTGCAAAGATCTATTTTAAACTTACGCGTGATTTGATCTGTCAATCAAATCGTACTTTTTAATGGTTTCCTCACTGATTTTGTTGAGATCACTTCGTGTGTATATACTAAAACAATTATTCTTTTCAATCTCGGTGAATAACGGGTTTGGGAATATTTCGCGGCTCGGTAAATATTTAGCCACTATTCACCTCGATTTCAAAGAATAATTGTTAACTAGCATGAGAATCAAATACATTATATCTGCCAGCCTCAATGCTGTAGATACCAACACCAGTAATTGCCACCATTAAAATGAATGAGTTGTAGTTGTGCACTTTAATTTACAGTAAGATAACAAAGATTACTTCAGTTGATCATGTGACTCAACTCATTGGATTATCCACTCGACCTAACAAAATCAACCAATCACAAAATAATGAAAACAAAATGGACATAAAATAAAAAAAAGCAAACTCAGATGACCTGTTAGGAAACATGCAATTAAAACTGTCATCCTATGATTGGTACATTTCGATCCTCTCGTCAAAAAAATGTCAGACGCCAGTTATCTTAGCGGACCTCTTAGGAAAAGAAAGTTTTCTTCAATGGGTTCAAACGGTCATTGTTTGTGATTTGTGATTGGTGGATTTCGATCCGTTTTTCCAATGTTTGTTGCTTGTGATCTTATTGTGACCAAAACCCGACGTTGATATTCCAAATATTTTTGATAGACTTCATCCCTGGACTTCAGACTTCCAAATTTCAATGAGGCAAAAATACTGAGGATTCAGATAAACTGTTGAGATCGTAAAAGGGGGATAAATTGCCGTGTGCTAGCAGACCTTTCTTTCCCACATGCCTCTTACCTTGTACAAGACGTTCACATGGCAGACATTCGCCTCGCTTCACTTGTTTAGTTCCCTTGTTTATGTTAGCACGTATTGCGTGCCTATTGCACATTTGCACCAAAACAAGCCGTTTCCATTACTCTATTTGGGCCGCACCCAAATAATAAACATCCAATATCTGTTATATGTGGACCGTTTTATGCCTCGTTTCCCTTGCCTTTTTAGAGGAAAATACCTCTTGGAAAATGCTGGAAATGGCATTTCTGAGTGTCTAGGTTTCAAAGTTTTCTGGGAGACCGTGCCCCCAGACCCCCCTAGACGCCTACTTTTCCAACACAACCTGCTACTCAAAAACTTACTGAAAGCCCTGCATATACATAATTAATTATCCCATAGTTACCTGGATATCCGCTGTCCATTTCCATTGTTGGTTGCCGTTTAAAATCTTTAACAATCTCTACAAGATCTGATCGCTGAGCTACCGTTAAAAGCTCCTCGAGGAAATCTAAATTATTGTTTCTGCTTCATACACTTAAACAGTTTCCTTGGTGTTGTGAATTTTTCCAAAGTGCCAGCCGGAATATGCTTTTCAAGCAAGAATTTCAAACTTTTCAGCTGTTCTTCTCCAATTTCCTGTGAAAGTCGCTCCAAGAACGTTTGGAAAGGATCAAAAGAGCTCTCCGACAACTAGCGGTAGCCATGGTCGAGTAACATAACCCGATCCCAGAAGAAGAATTCGTAGCTTCATTTAGCTTTCGACTCTTACCTAGAACATGGTTACTTTTGAGCTGTTTTCAATATTATATCGAGTCTCTACGAAGTCGTAGCAAGGCGACAGACATACTCAAGCTTAAACTAAACTCAAACTACGAGTAGAGGAAGCTTTGTTTGTACGCGGCGCGGGATGCACTCTGTGAAGAAGGTTGCTCTGGGAGTCTGGTAAAGAGAGGGGAGGGAAGGTAAAAATGGCTTACCAAGGGGGTACGGGGTAGTACGGGGATAGGTTAATCCTTGTTTTGCAT